ATATTCCACGGTCAACTGTTAGAGTGGTATTATAACAAAGTGGAAGCCACTGGGAACAACAGCAACTCAGCCACAAAGTGGTAGGCCACGTAAAATGACAGAGCAGGGTCAGCGCATGCTGAAGCACACAGTGCGCAGAAGTCTCCAACTGTCTGCAGAGTCAATAGCTACAGACCTCTACACTTCGTGTGGCCTTCAGATTGGCACAACAACAGTGTGTAGAGAGCTTCATGGAATGGGTTTCCATGGCAAAGCAGCTGCATCCAAGCCTCACATCACCAAGTGCAATGCAAATCGTCGGATGCATTGGTGTAAAGCACGCCGCCACTGGACTCTATAGAAGTGGAGACGTGTTCTCTGGAGTGACAAATCACGCTTCTCTGTCTGGCAATCCGATGGACATGTCTGGGTTTGGCTGTTGGCAGGAGAACGGTACTTGCCTGACTGCATTGTGCCAAGTGTAAAGCTTGGTGGAGGGGAGATTATGGTGTGGGGTTGTTTTTCAGGGGTTGGCTTGGCCTTTTCATTCCAGTGAAGGGAACTCTTAAGGCATCAGCATACCAAGACATTTTGGACAATTTCATGCTCCCACCTTTGTGGGAACAGTTTGGGGATGGCCCCTTCCTGTTCCAACATGAATGCGCACCAGTGCACAAAACAAGGTCCATAAAGACATGGATGAGTTTGGGGTGGAGGGAGGCCTTCTCATCCAACATCCGTACATGACCTCACAAATGCGCTTCTAGAAGAATGGTCAAACATTCCCATAGACACACTCCTAAATCTTGTGGACAGCCTTCCCAGAAGAGTTGAAGCTGTTATAGCTGCAAAGGGTGGGCCAACTCAATATTGAACCCTACAGACGAAGACTGGGATGCCATTCAATTTCATGCGCGTGTAAAGGCAGGCGTCTCAATACTTTTGGCAATATAGTGTATATATCTACAGTGCATCAATCGTTGGTCTATATAGATCGTTGGTTCGGCCACATCTGAGTACGCGGCCCAGTTTTGGTCGCCGATACTGAGAAGGGATGTCCTTGAACTGGAGAGAGTCCAGCGGAGGGCAACAAAACTAATTAGGGGAATGGAGGACCAGAGCTATGAGACAAGGCTTCTGACCTTAAACATGTTTACGCTGGAATTAAGGAGATTAAGGGGGGATATGATTTTCATGTACAAGATGTTCAATGGTGACAGCAACATTGGCAACAAACTGTTTGAGATTAACTCCATTACAAAGACTAGAGGCCACCACCTAAAGTTGGTGGAGAAAAAATTCCAGCACAATGGGCGAAGAGGGTTCTTTACAGTAAGAGCGGTTAAGGTCTGGAACTCACTGCCATCGGCAGTGATTTCAGCCAAGAGTGTAGATTTGTTCAAGAAATGTTTGGACAATTTCTTGAGGGACCGTAATATCCAGGGATACCAGTATCCCTAAGAATGAGATGATGCATTGCATAGCCAAGATGGCATTTCCCAGGTATTGAAGAGACCCAAACATAGCCTAGTCCTACAATAAGTCATTCTACTTCTCTGTATTTAAGGTTTGTTCTTCAGTTATAACATTTTCTAAGAAAGTCAACGGTTGGATCAAGGATGTTTGTGCAAGTACACTTATCTTCAAATAAAGAACAAATTCTGGAATACATGGCAAGACATGTTGCTGGCCCTTCGTTGAATCTCTAACATTGTGTAGAAGACCTGGAGCCTCAGTTACAGCATTTAATAGAGAAAATACAGATACTGCGCAAAAAAGAAAAAGTTGAAAAGAACTCTTTCAGAAATGACAAACCATACCAAATTTATGGAACAAATATCAATTTACAGCTGCTAAGCTAAGAACTAATATAGTAATGCACTGTGCAGTTTTAATTAAAATACCAAAGAATGGCATGCATCTAGAATTTCCAGTCTTGGCTTACCCTTTCCTCTATAAACAGGACAAAAAGTCACAATAAACCAAATTGCTTGTATTTTAAAGAATCCCCTGAATTTTATACTTGATGAGAATACTAAAAATGATTTAAAATGGAAGTTACATAATATTGGCGAAGAACAACTTACAACTATCAAAATGCACAGAAAGACGAAAAGGCTACAATACCTAAATAATCATTAGACAAAAATATTAAGACTTAAAAAGGAGAACTATGAGGTGACCGATTTCTACTCATCCTCTTAGTTAGAGCCAACCTGTGACAAAGAAGCTGTCACAGGTCGGCTCTATTGATCGGAAAGTGAGCAGAAAACATGCAGCCAATCCGCTCACTTCCCGATCATCTCCCTGCAGTGACTGTCAGTCACCTCTCCCCGCAGGGATTCCCTCCCCTCTCCAATCTTCCAGCTTTGAGTGGGGGAACGAACAGGGGAGGGGGCGGGCACAGCTGGTTCTGCCTCTAGAAAGGCAGAGCCAGCTGTCACCCACGTAGCTGGGTGGATCTCGACACTATTGTCGGGATCCGTCCCGGCTGCAGCGCTCTCAGTATATATCGCAAAGAGAGCACGCTATATACTGAGCTTTGGGTCACAGGAGGATGCTAGTATATGTCCTCCTGTGACCCTAAAGAGAACTATGGGGAAAAATACTTACCCCATAGGTTTTCTTTTAACAGCAATACTCTTCCTAGATATCTTCTGTGGAAAATGTGTGGATGTAACAGAATATAAATTAGATGAATGTAAATGGTATGGAGAAGCTGCCGCTACCTTAGGATCTTTTTTTGCAGCTTATTTAATTACTTAATAAATTGAATGTCTATGTAGTATTTCCATAAGGAAAAAGGTACAAATGACCTATAACAAAAAATTAAGGACTATAACATAGCTATAAGTAGGGATGTCCCGATACCGATGCTAGCATCGGAATCGGGCCCGATACAGGGCATTTTGACAAGTACTTGTACTTGTCAAAATGCCCCGAAGCCTAGCGCCGAAGCTTGATGTAGTAAGCAATTATGTATTGTCTGCACTGTATTAGCAGTATATACTCTATATACTACATATAGAGTATATACTGCTAAATACAGACTAAATACAGTGCAGACAATACATTTACAATTATACTAACATGAATGGATTAAATGATCTGTATGTAGCCCTGTACTATGGATCATTTAACCCATTCATGTTAGCAGAGGATAATTGTAAATGTATTGTTGCAGGCACTCTATATGTACATGTACTATATACTACATATAGAATGCACTGAACAATAGATTTACAATTATCCTCTGCTAATATGAATGGGTTAAATGATCCGTAGTACATGATATGTAGCCCTGTACTACGAATCATTTAACCCATTCATGTTAGCAGTGCAGAATTGTATATCTATATGTACTGTACATATACAGCACAAATGTCCCGTACATTGCAGCAATATATTTACAATAATCCCCTGCTAACATGAATGGGTTAAATGATCCGTAGTACAACTACATGTTATGTACTATGGATCATGATTTAACCTATTCATGTTAGCAGGGGATAATTGTAACTATTAATGCAGTGTACGGGACGTATGTGCTGTTTATGTACTATGGATCATGATTTAACCTATTCATGTTAGCAGGGCAAAATTGTGAGCGCCTCCCACAAGCTGAGCACCGAGATGCGATGCAGCGATCCTGCCCAGCGCCGACTACAAGAGGCACCGCATGAGGCTACAGGGATCGGAGTGAAACTGTGAGTAAGGGAAGCTGGGACGGGGCTGGCTGTAAATCTATTGCTATAGTGTACTGGATGTGTGTAATGTATATGTAGTACATATATACAGCACACACCTCCACTACACTCCAGCAATAGTTACAATTCTCTCCTGCTAACATGAATAGGTTAAACCATGATCCATAGTACATAAAACATGTAGTTGTACTATGGATCATTTAAAGTCACCTGTCCCTTTAAGAAAAAGTATCGGTAATTGGTATCGGCAAGTACATGAGGGGATGTACTTGGTTCTAAAAAAGTGGCATTGGGACATCCCTAGCTATAAGCTATCATTTTAAATGTCCAGTGTATAAAGTCGTGCTTCATTTTGCAGATTGGTATGTTCATTCTTGGGCAGAGGTGTCAAATCCAAAAACTTACTAAGGGCCTTGCCAAGAGTTGTGAATAAAATCAGGGGCCGGACATGAAGAAAATAAATGTTAAAAAAATTAACCCTGCTGCGGTACAAGGTTTGGGTCCTCTAATCATTATATGAAAGTCCTGGTGTCCTGTGTGTGAGGGCACTACAAGTGTCAGCAATCCCTGTCCATTTTATGACAGTTCCATGTGTGTGAAGGCACTACAAGTGTCAGCAGTCCCTGTCTATTAAATGAACAGGGACTGCTAACATTTTAGTGCTCTCACACAGTGTCAGTTCCGGATACGCACAGTGGGACTTACTGGACCCGCTGAGAACAGAGACTAGGAGGAACGTGCGGGCGAGGAGAAACCTGTGGCCTAGGAGGGACGTGCGGGGTCCTCAGAGGGCAGCCAGCTGAATTGCCCTCCAAGTTTCTTCTGCCTGAGCACAGGCTAGAAAACAAAAATTAACCCTGCTTGCCGCAGTACAAAGCTCTGGAGGGCCTAATAAAATCTTGTGGCGGGCTGTTTCTGGCCGCCAGGCTTTGTAATTGGCATATGTGTCCTAGTGGAACTAACAATGTTTAGTAGGTTTGTATAATATAACCAATGCTACTGACAATACAAGAAGGAGAAAATGTAAGAATCAGTACTAGAACAGCGAAATGCCATAAAGTGAGAATCCCAATAGAATGAAAGATATATTCACCGTCAGAATAATACATACTTTAGCTTCTTCTATGCTTTATTTAAAACAATATAGATTTAAACAATCTTAAACATAGGTAATAAATGTAAAAGTTTTATTGGAATCTTTAGACACCAGAAAACATGGTAATACATTCTAACCAGTCAAGACTCATTTGCAAACTAAACAAATTTGCCATTTTCTTACAAACATTTCCTTTCAGTCTGCAACTTTATGCTAAAGCAACTGAATACATCAGTGCAAAGAAGAGTGAATCAACAAAATGGAGATGTTTGATCAAATATAATAGGCAGTGCCATGATATGCAGTAAATCCTAGTAAACAATAAGTTTTCACATTTTGTAAATTTACAGCACACAAAACAATAAAAGGAATACCGATTGCTTTCTATAGGTAACTCTTCATCTCTTTGACATGTTAAAAGATAAGCCAATTGTTGGTTCCAGTAAAAAAAAAAAAAAAATTATATTAGAAAGAACAACGCGGTAAAATAGCCCGATTAAATGATGCTAGGTTTAACATAACTATTTCTGCAAGTACTGCAAAAGCAGAAATTAGTTTCTATAAAATCTTAAAAATCTAAGCTGTTTTTGAATGATTTTAATTGGTCGCAAAGCCAGGAAAGTAAATTAAAGCCGCTTCAACGGTAAAGCTCTTAACTGCCCTATCCCGTAGTAATGACTTTCAGCCCTACTTAGCATGAATGTGCTCAAAAAGCCACTGATTACGGAATCAAAGCTGTCATTCTCTAACTTGGCAGATATAAACCAGCTTTTATTAGCATAAATGAAAGATTGCTTTGAACAGCTCTCAATCATATGATTCACCAAATCAAGGTAATGCTTCCAGTTTCTGTAGGGCAGGCAACCGTCAAGCTAATCCAGGGGAGCTGGAATTGGAGCACAATTGATGTCAACACAATAACTTGCAATGATATTCCTGGCACATTCAACAAAAATACCCACTCAAATGTTAAAAGTCCTGTCAATAAAGTACAAAGGAAATGCTATTACCACTTTATGGCAGTAGTATGACAGCAGATTCAGAAGTAGCTATGTACTGGGGGAATAATTCCCTAAGTGACCAGTGTAAGTGACAGTCAGTAATCTGTCTCTGATACTGAAAGACTCATTATTTAAAAGACATCTTAGAATAATATGTGTGTGTGTGTGTATAACACATTTATATATAATATATATATATAGATATATATCTATAGATCTATCTATAGATCTATAGATATATATCTATATATATATAAAAATATGTCTTTTGCAGAAATTAAAGTTGGCATGTGCCTGTACCTTATGTTAGCCCACATTCTCAATATTGGTAGACCAGTGGACAGCAACATATTCAAATGTAGCAAATTTCACATTTCTTGGTCCACTATGGAGCCATGTGGGTGCATTACCACAGCTGAATTTAAACTTGTTATGAAAACATTAATCTATTTTTTAACACAAATTTGCAGATCATTTAAGTAGAAGACACAGTGAATTTTATTTATAAAAAAAACATCTGGATTTAATATAAAATTCCAAAACTTCAATTAAAAAATAGAGAGGCCTCCATCAGACCCTTATATTTTATTTGGATATATCCTTTATATTAATACAACTTCACACTTTTAATTATACTGAAGTCCCTACATGAACCTATATCTGCAACATTCTTACAATATGGTTTAATGTAGGCCAGAAGGACAGGGCAAACATAAGAACCACGAAAACTGGAAAAAAAGGGAAAACAATATAATGCACTGCGAAAATGTAACAGGTTAAAAATCTGAAAAGCTCAGTTTGTGTTTTAAGATTGGACAATGAAGGGGCATTACCACCATGATGAGATTACCGTTTTTTACTTCCAGTGATAAACTTACAAAATAGACAATGCAGTAGAATTTCTCTCACCCTGCTGGCTCTCCTTATTCCAGTCCGATTCCTGATGTGCAAGGAATTAAAAAAATACCATATAAAGACTGACAGTGTAGTTATACTATCTGCATCTTCCAGCCTTCTACCATTAGTGTAATTTCTAGAATAGAGCAGAGTCCCAACAGTTGTAATTTTCTTAAACAAAGACGCAGATGCATTAACCAAGCACACAGGTTATTATATTGTGCATTTCTTTTTTTATAAACTTTGTTTTAAGGGGAAAAAAAAGGAATCCAGAGTGAGCAAGAATGTTTAAAGTACCATTATATATAGTGAGATGCAGTCACTCATATTCCTCTAGCAATGAAAGGTCCAATGAGCACCAAGATGAACATTTCCATAAGTCCTTGCATAGAATGTGTCCACTCCAAGCTGAATAATGTATGTTTTAGTGCAAATCTTCTTTTCTTTGCCATATGGTCCTTCAATTAGTTTTATCCTGTATGTGTGCCAAGTTGGCATTTGATTTTAACCTCTTGGCTGAAAACAAAGACAGCACAAAACCGGTTACTTTTTGTGAATCAAAGACATAAAAAGCAATATTTGAAAAGTGAAGAAGTAGTATTAAAAATCATATCAAATGTCACATTTCAATTATTTAAATAAATAATACACAGTACATGGTCTGCCATAGTATATGTGCTTGCCCACTAAACATATGACCACTAGCTGGAAATCTACAATGAATACTAAGAGTGTAAATGCTAAATGAAGAATAATGTTATACACTGTGGGGGGAATTTATCAAAACTGCCCAATGCAACAAATCAGCATCTCGCTTCAGTTTTCTAAGGTAAGATTTGAAAATGAGACAGTGAAGCTGATTGGTTGCAGTGCAAATCTGCTCCAAGTTTGATAAATTCCCCCCTATGTATACATATTTAGTACAATCAAGGACTAGTGAAGGACACCTATTCAAGGATTATAGCGTTCAGGTAGCAATAGAAATTCCACTAGTGACAATTTAACAGCGCAAGGTTTAACAAACATGGTCATCAAGAGCTCCTTGAAGTTGGACACAAAAACTGTCAAGCATGTGTTCAGCAGAATACTGATATAAATGGGAAAAGTGCAACTTGGGGCTGCTGCTGAGGAAACATATCAGGTGGTATGATATAACACAAGTCAATTAGAGAATCAAAGAAGCCTATGTACTGCTGTATGATGACCATGTTTGCAAATGTGAACTACACTGTTTCCAGGAACAGGAAGCAAGGATAACTTGCCACAAACTTGTGGCGGGGTGGGATTGTAATTTTGTTAACTTGCTGCACACATTCCTGGCAAGTTGTAGACTTGCAGAACACTTGCAGCACAAGTTCTAGTTGACACTTTTTGAATTTACAGCAAATTTGCTTGGCAAGTCTACAGCAAGAGTCCTGCATGTCTTACCAAGAGCTCTGCAAGTGTACAGCACTTTTGCAAAGAACGTTGACCTGGAGACTTGCAATGCAGACTTGCTGTAATTGTGCAACAAAATTGTGAAGCTTGGCAAGTCTGCAATAGTTTAGCAAGTCATTTTCAAACTTGCAGCTCAATTGCTTGCTATCTGGGAAGGGGTGTTATTAAAAGCAATGTACTCGAGCACAAAAATCCCTAGCTATACATTTAGGAAATTAGTTTCTTTTCTGTTGACAATGAACATTTAGCCCCTGACTAGGTCATATAAGCCAAAAATTCTCAGGTATGTCCAAAGGAACCAAATACCAGAATATCTGGTTATAGTGCATTGATGAAAGACTGAAAGTTGTCAAGAAAATCTATTCTCTTTTTATGAGGAATTAAGCAGAAACTCAGACAAAGGAGTGGCTAAGTATGTAGTCCAATTGGACTTTGCTAAAGTGTCTGGCACAGTTCCCCACAAATGGCCAACAAAAGTTAAGGTCCATAAGATTAGAAATCCTAACGTGTGATTAGATAGAAAACTAGCATTAAAAGTAGTGAATACCTATTCATACTCTGAGTTGGTGGTGGAGTACCCCAAGGTTCAGTGTTGGAACCCATACTTTTTAACCTGTTAATAGATGATATAGAGACTGGAATTGGAAGAACCAATTTTTGCATTTCTAGATGGCAAAAATCTATGTAGGGGCAAGGTCTCTAAAGAAACCTCTAACTTGCAATTGAATATTATGGTTTTAAGATCATGTAAAGTTATGCACTTGGGGGCTATAAACATACATGAATCGTACAATGCACAAAATATTGCTGGATATTATTTTTTTATAAGAAAGAACACTGTTGGCCATTGATCTGCGGGTATTAGATTGCCTTTGGGTCAACTGTACGTGTAGTGTTCCAAGGTTGCAAGGCGTTTCATTTTATTTTTGTCTTCTAGTTGAACCCGATGGACATGTCCTTTTAAAACCAGACTAACTATGTAAATATCGGACTGACTATTACGAGTGGCTGGGCCAGCATCCAGGTACTGCTTCTTTCTGGTGCAAGGACAGGTAGCTTGTGGTGCTATTTTCAGTCTTACCAAGAGCTCTGCAAGTGTACAGCACTTTTGCAAAGAACGTTGACCTGGAGACTTGCAATGCAGACTTGCTGTAATTGTGCAACAAAATTGTGAAGCTTGGCAAGTCTGCAATAGTTTAGCAAGTCATTTTCAAACTTGCAGCTCAATTGCTTGCTATCTGGGAAGGGGTGTTATTAAAAGCAATGTACTCGAGCACAAAAATCCCTAGCTATACATTTAGGAAATTAGTTTCTTTTCTGTTGACAATGAACATTTAGCCCCTGACTAGGTCATATAAGCCAAAAATTCTCAGGTATGTCCAAAGGAACCAAATACCAGAATATCTGGTTATAGTGCATTGATGAAAGACTGAAAGTTGTCAAGAAAATCTATTCTCTTTTTATGAGGAATTAAGCAGAAACTCAGACAAAGGAGTGGCTAAGTATGTAGTCCAATTGGACTTTGCTAAAGTGTCTGGCACAGTTCCCCACAAATGGCCAACAAAAGTTAAGGTCCATAAGATTAGAAATCCTAACGTGTGATTAGATAGAAAACTAGCATTAAAAGTAGTGAATACCTATTCATACTCTGAGTTGGTGGTGGAGTACCCCAAGGTTCAGTGTTGGAACCCATACTTTTTAACCTGTTAATAGATGATATAGAGACTGGAATTGGAAGAACCAATTTTTGCATTTCTAGATGGCAAAAATCTATGTAGGGGCAAGGTCTCTAAAGAAACCTCTAACTTGCAATTGAATATTATGGTTTTAAGATCATGTAAAGTTATGCACTTGGGGGCTATAAACATACATGAATCGTACAATGCACAAAATATTGCTGGATATTATTTTTTTATAAGAAAGAACACTGTTGGCCATTGATCTGCGGGTATTAGATTGCCTTTGGGTCAACTGTACGTGTAGTGTTCCAAGGTTGCAAGGCGTTTCATTTTATTTTTGTCTTCTAGTTGAACCCGATGGACATGTCCTTTTAAAACCAGACTAACTATGTAAATATCGGACTGACTATTACGAGTGGCTGGGCCAGCATCCAGGTACTGCTTCTTTCTGGTGCAAGGACAGGTAGCTTGTGGTGCTATTTTCAGGGTGTCCCAACAGTTTGAGGGATCAGGTAACATACATTTTAGGAATTAGGGGTTAACGTTGGGGATTCGGCTAAAGTTTGAACTGGGGGTTAAAGATAAAAGTTAGGTTTGATGTGCATGTCTGGGCAAAACAAAAATCTCTAGAAAAACAAACCTCAGGGAAATGTGCATGTTTGGCAAAGACCCTGCAAGTAAAGAAAAATACCTGTTCATGTGCCAAACATGCACTCAGCTCCTATTTCTTATTTTGGGCTGAGAACACATAGCATGTTTATGAACTGAATGGTGTCAGCCCTATCCAACTGTTTTTTGTAAACTATTGAATTCCTCTCACTGTCCTCATATTCACAACATAGGGCCTAATTGTGTTGCAGTCCAGGAGGGCTAATTCTGCTCCTTGAGATAAAAACAGCAAGTGTGCACAGGACCGCGCTGAATATCTGACACTGCTTGCATAATTTGGGACTTCTATTTTTTCGTAGAGTTCAGTTTTAAGGGTAAGGTTAGGGTGAGGGGAAATGCCATTTAGAGAAGAATTAGGGGTTCAGGGTTAAATGTTATAGGCATTCTAGGGGGCAAATTTTAAAAAACATAATTATGCAAGTTGACACTGAGGCTGTCATCCTACTCATTGCTTCTCTAAGTAATACGTTTCTGACTTGGAATAAGCATGTGCATACTCGGTATCCTGTCATGTCGCATGCACATCTAGGTCCAGGTCCGTAACTTTCCAAGTTGTAAAAGATGGATCAGGATGACACCATCTGCAATCTTGCAATGTATCATCAGATGCAACTAAACTGAATTAATCAAATAAAATTCACGAATGAAGGAGCCTTCATGCAACTGATCTGACTGCGTGTGGATGAAGCATGTCAATCAGTTCTGATTGCTGCATGCTAGAGAACTGTTCGTAATACAGATCAATTATCCAATCAGTTTAAATTGATAATTTACATTTATCACCGATCGATTATATCAATATTTTCAGTCAATGGCAAGCGCAGAACAATACCGCATGAGTTGCGTAGTTCAATATTTTACATCAACAGTGAATTACTAAACTGATTGCACATCAACATGCATATGGCCATCCTGCAACGTTACCAAATGTACCCTATTGTGCGCTGAAGTAAGACAGCCCATTCATTTTGAATGGGCTGCAAATACTCCAAACACAGGTGTAAACAGACATGCAGCATTTTTTTCACACAGCTGGTTTACATCTGCTGCATTGTGTTGCTCTAAAACATATGCGAGTTGTGGTGCGCTGGACTGTAACTCAAAATAAAAGATACTAGAATGCACCTCACTACACCTAAGGGCAAATTTATAGAGCAGTGAATGTGACAGTCAAAACATTAACTGCAGGTAAATCTTTTTGGTGCATACGTTTTAAAATACAGTGTTTGATTCATCTGCATTAAAGGTTTGTTGAATGTCACATTCACTGCTTTACCTCTTTGTTTCGTGCGTTAAATTGACAAATTGTGGACCACACGCTACTGCAACACACAGATCAGAACAGAGCCTTAGTGTATTTATCTTACAACTTAGCCTCTTTATCACGCAAGTATTTCCATATATTTCTCATATTATATTATTACTATTTTATGTTAATAACAGTAATTGCCAAATCATAAATTGGGAATGGATTTTTATTACTGTAAATGCTGGTCTAAAATGTCTAGTGCAGTGAAGTTAGAAACTCGTGAACTGGCTGAGAAATCTGGCTGTCAATGATCCCCATTAACACCGATGCTGACTTTCCACATTCCTTTGAGCATTGAGCCTGCTGAAGTGAACATGATATCATGGCCTTAACATATAACACTACTGAATCTGGGCCATCAGTAGCGGATGTCATTAAAATAAAATAAACGATCTGTGTGATGACCAAAAACATTTAATATTTTATCCTTAATAATGTCATTAAAACTATTTCACTTGCACATGTGACCAACACGGTTGATATAAACATTGACAGATGCTATTGGGCTTAAAGCTCAACTCCTAATTCTAAACGGTTTCCCGTCACGCAAGGGTTAACTCGTTTACGAGTAGGGGACAGGGGAAAGCCGTTTTACTTACCTGATCTCGAATCCGGGGCTCTCCTCTTTTCCCCCCTCCAGTCCAGCTGCGAACTGTCCTTCAGTGCATTCATGTACAATGCAGGGCTATGTCAGTGATTTTTTAGGCCACCAGAGAGAAGGGGTGAAGAAGCTGGGGCTCTAGTAGCACAGACGGAGCCGACAGGAGTGGGGACCAGGTAAGTAAAACAGCTTTTTTTCTGTACCATGGGCATAAACAAGCAATTATCTTAGTTTCCCTGGAGTTGAGCTTTAAAGTGATATTATATATGTGTCTGGATTTCAGGCCAGCTTAAATCTGGACACAAGCCGTCACGATGTCAAGCGGACAGAGGCAACCACAGGGTCCTGGTATTCTAACTTGATGGCTTTGAGGAGGCATTGGACATGAATGGATGCTGGAACTCGGGGAGCAATGAGGCGTCTGAAACAGAAGGTGTAGATAAGCCTTGAAGGACACAGGGGTTCTGCTTCAGGCTGATGTGTGTGTTCTTTCTCTCTCTCTCTCCATGTGGCACTAGAGTGTTCGGGTTTCGCTGGAAGTGGTGCCAAACCTAGCGATACAGAGTACAACAGCACTTGCTACTTACATTCCTCACATAACCACATGCCAGGCTACCTGCTTCATTACTGCTCCCCTGCTGGAAGAGGTAAGGGACAGTTGAAGAGAGAGGAATCCGGGATGTGTGTGTGTGTGTATCCCACCTATGTCGTAGGTTGTGTAAAGCACATAAGAAAAGCTCTCCTGTTTTTCCTTGAATGCCTTTTGATAATAAATAGAAGCCTCAACTTATTTGGAGTGCCTCTACCATTTATTCCTACTATACTGACCAGATACAAGCTGGGCTGGCACACGTTGGGTGAGTGTTTGTGGCCTGGACTGGAGCAGCGCTGTTTTTAAACTATATCTTTTTGTGGGCATACTCTAAAGAAATGTAAAAAAATAAATTGCCCTAAGTCTATGTTGTCAGTCTCACTTGTCCCAAGTGGCATTCCAGTTTCACAACACTTTGTTCCATACAAATGTTTACTTATGCTTTACATAAGTATTGTTCAGCAAAGAGATTGCAGTCCAAAAAGATTACTTGGGATTTGTTTTGAACAAAAAAAAGAAAGGGCATTATTTATCTTCACATTTACTACAAGAAATGTAATCCTAAAACAAAACTAACTTGTGCAAATTATTTATAGAGGAGGAGCAAACAACAAAGAACTCCTCAAATGATCTTTGTTTCTGCTTTCCACACACATTTTATATAGCTTATATAGTGATACTTACGAAATATCAGCTTGCGCTTCTTTTGCTCAGAATGAAGGAAGCTGCTTAAGTAGAAAACAACAGGCAGAAATAGGATGAATGCTGAAACTGCAATCACTGGAACAGTGTCCGTGCAGGGCAATGTGCAGTTAAATACTCCACTCCAAAGACTACGAGTGCTATTCATCTGGAGTAACAAAATGTAAATGATCGATTCATGTTTTCATGAGTTTAAAAGGGAAAACAAATGCAAAACAAAGGAGCTGGTAAATAATTGAAATACAACTGTTCTTTAAGTATTATTAAATACACATTGGCAATACAATGGGCAGAATAAATCATATAGAGAAGCAGGCTGGTGTTTAAGGGCTTACACATCTAGCGGTGACCTGCACAGCGGATCAACACAAGTCACTGGTAGGACACATAGAAAACAATTGTTTTCCATGTATCCCATTTGCACTACAAGGCATTGGGCAGTGCAATGCGATAAAATTCATGCAAATAAGCATTTTATTTCTGCACACTGCCCACTGTACTGTAGTGTGAATTGGACACATAGAAAACAATCCAGAGAACCTGGATGGAGTGTGCCCATTGTAAATAGAGACAGCTCCAGTGTGTGATACAATCCACACTTCCAGTGCTGTCACAATGCACTAGCCCCTCCAATGAAACGACTACCAGAGCTGTCACAATGCACTAGCCCCTCCAATGAAACCGAGTGTTTTAGTGGATGGGCTAGTGTGAACGGGCCCTCAAACTAAACAGATCTTTGTCAATTGAGGGCACTCCAGCATTCCCTGTCAGTCTGTTCAGCAATGGGAAGTGAAGGAAATTCCAGGCACTCCTGGCAATAGAGGGACATGCGACTTGGGGCTTGTTCACACCATGTCCATTGAGCTATGGTTTTCTGCACACCACCACACATGCATGGTGTGAACAGGGCACATAGAAAACAATTGCTTTCAATGTGTCCTGTTATACCAAATATGTGTGGTGGTGTGGAGGAAAACACAGCTTAACAGACATGGTGTAAACAAGCCCTCACTCCATGCAACAGTGCTGGGCTAATCAGTGATGTCACACAAAAAGCCTTGTGTAAGCTACCACTCCAGAAACTATACCGGATAATTTACACAGGACATTCCTTCTATTCCCAGCTGAACAGAGCAAAGGAAAGGTAAGTATATGCTGGCGGGGTGGTCTACATTAAAGTGAACGTGTTGCTTTGCATTGAATAGGTAAAGGATAGGTTCACTTTAAAATTAGTGATCTGAATATTTTATGCAATATGCTGTTTGTATTAAATACATATTTCATCTTAAAAGGAGAACTATGGGGTCAGGGCTTTTCCCCATAGTTTTCCTTAGGGTAACGGGAGGACACAAACTAGCGTCCTCCCGTCACCCTAAGCTCAGTATACCGCTATCACAATCGTGGTATACTGAGACGCCGCAGCGGATCCCGACATCGATGTTGAGATCCACCCAGCTGCGCGAGTGACAGCTGGCTCTGCCTATCTAGAGGCAGAGCCAGCTTAACCCGGCCCATCCCCTGTCCGTTCCACCAGTCAGAGCTGGAGGATCGGAGTGGGGAGAGGGGAATCCAGCCCCTCCCCTATCACGGCTCTCTGCCATGACAGGATCGAGAAGTGAGTGAACGCCGGTATGCGTTTGCTCACTTCCCGATCTACTGAGCCGACCTGCGACAGTCTCATTGTCACAGGTCGACTAGAACTATGAGGTGAGTGAAAAGCACTCACCTCATAGTTCTCCTTTAAATATCATTCTATTTAAGAGTATGGTGCACTACTGAATCTAAGATAATATTACAGGATCAATTACATACTGCATGTGGTACATCTAGAGTAATAGATTTACAGAACAAAGAATTACAAACTGCTATTACTTACAGCATCTTCTAAGTCAATACACAGGCCGTCGCCATGTTCTAATTCAGTGTACTTATCATTCAGACTCTTGTAGCTGCCATTACAAATCTGGCATACTTTTGAAAGATTGCCATGTTGCCCTGGAACTGCTGGTCCCTATAATAAAACAAAAAATTAACTTGTAATGGGATTGTATCCACCATAATCCATCTTATAAATGTGGTGTACATCCACCATATGATAAACTAGGAATAATTAGAGACCTGTGATTTGAAGCTTAGAGTTTTTATTCATTTCTATACAGAGCGGACACATTCTGTAGGGTACAGATAGGTTAATTGTCCTTGTCAAGCTCCAAACTATCTTATATGGTCCTTTTCGGTCTGTAAAATATGCCACTGAAAGAGTTTGATTATATCTTTACAATAAGTTAAAAAAAACAACAAAAAAAACACCCCGGCGCCAGCCAACCCCTTGGATTTTAGTGCTGGGAGCAGGGGAGTAAGGAGCTGCGAGGGTGTGCGAATATGATGCTGGAGCCCCTTTACAAAAGCACTGCCATTTTGCCCTGGCATTGGCTTTTACACTCCAAACATTCCACATTAAATGATGGTTATTATGATACATGACTCTGCTACGATGGAATATTCAATAGGGCAGGGGTGCACAACTCCGGCCTTCCAGCTGTTGGGGAAATACAAGTAGTTTTTGTTGTAGTTAAAGCACAGCTGGAGGGGCAGAGTTGCCTACCCCTGCGAGAGGGTATAACAGACCGGACACACTGGACTAACCACATGAGCTCCTGCCCCAAAGAAGCTTTTCAGGTCATGTTCCTGCAACAGACGCACACAGATAATGGGAGGAAATTAAGGAACCCAAAGCTAACCCACACTAAAAAAGTTAGATCAAACATATTTTATGAATATACTGCCCCGATGGGAACAGGAATTCAGGGTAGCAATGAGAACCACTGAACATGCAGACCTTCCCAACCGAAACAGTTAATCTGACTATTTCTAACTTACTCAGGGGGCAAGTGTCTGACAAGCTAGAAAACTAGCAAAACCAACAGTACCTACACTTTTTTCCCACTTCCTAATCCTTACTATCGCTGGTCCTACGCCCCATACACATAAGGCATTCTCAGACCTGTTGTTTATGGAGAAGAAAAATATGCAAAACAAACTACGAGATAACAAAATTACCAAAAAAAACAGTCTGTATATACTTCCCAAAATTATAATCGAAAAATCAAACTAGAGGATTTACCTCAGTGCTGTTGAAGCACTCCATCAGCTCATCAAATAACTTCATAAATTCAACGGTGCTATCCAGGACAACAGTATCGTTCACGCAACCTTGAGACATGAAAGGAAAATGCTGTAACAATACCTATATTAATTTACCACTTGTTTGTGTTATATAGTAAAAATTATATCTAATAAAAAACTACTTGCATCATAGCCACAGCCTTGAATTTAAGACTAAAGCATATATTACATTTACTAATGGTAATATAGAGAACGTTGATATGATTCTGTGAAAAGAATCAACCCAGTGGCAAGGATAACTGGAATATTACATCACGTCCGCATTCTGCTGTCACTCTCCAGCTTCAGACGCTGGAGAGAAGCTGATGAAGCAGATCTCTGGCTTCATCAGCTTCTTCAGGGGGTCCTAGGTGACATTAGGGGTCTTGGAGACTCCTGATGTCTCCATAAAGAGGACCCATCACATCCTCTTTGCTATCACATAGGGGGGTTTCTTAGGAAAAAAAATTAAAGTTTCCAAAAAAAACCTTTAAGTTACACATAAAAAAAGAATGAAAAAAAAAACACCACAACATTTTTTTTTTAAAGTCCCCACCCATACATGCACACATGCAAACATGCGTCGGGTGAGCATACCTGCGAAAACGATTGTGCCCATTACGCCACACGTTACATATCGCCGCGAACGTCGCAGTGAGAGCAATAATTTTAGGGCCATTAATCACTGATAACACTAAATTGATGAGCGGTAAAAGCTTTTAAAGTGTCGGTCAATTTTGGGTATGGTAGTTTTTTGCGATTTCGCCGGTGCGAGCAATTTTAAAGCTTGACATGTTCGGTGTCTATTTACCCAACTTGACCCCGTCTTTTATATTTTACCAAAAAATTGGGTAGTAATATAATTGTTTCCTAACATAATAGGGGGAAAAAACTTTTTTTTTTTCAAAATTTTCAGTCATTTTTCCTTACCAAAGTAAAAAATTAAAACCCCAGTGGTGATTAAATGCCACTAAAAGAAAGCTCTATCTGTCTCCAAATTTTTTTTATAAAATTCATTTTCAGTACTGCGTTGCATGACAGAATAAACGTCAAAGTAGTGCAGCGCTGAATACTGAAAAATGGCCTGGCCAGGAAGGGGGTGTAAATACCTGGTCTTCAAGAGGTTAATGTGCTACCATTTGAAGCTAAATCTCACAATATCTAAAAATGTCTGCCTGCGTTTTGCAAGCACCTTCTCACCTCTCCCATTCATTAGTATTAATTGTGCCCCCCCTGACAGTGTATTGTGTGCAAAGGCAGAGCTGCTGTTTACAGATCATGTGACAATGAATAACAGGGAGGGGAGAGCTGTTTAAAGCGGACTGATTTTCCTGTGGAGAAAATGTTTCATTTTTAGGTTTAAGGCCTAATAAAAGGTTCATTAAAAAAACAGGAAAGCCTAAAATGTGAGTCGTGAAAATGTGCACATGTATACATCATCTCTGCACCTCCTCATTACCACAGTAAATGCTAATCACTTACAAAGGTGGAAATGGACTTTAAGCTTTGAAAACGAAAGAGAAGCTGATTAGTTACCATGGACAACTGCTCCAGATTCTGTCTGCTCCAGTTTTGATAAATTCCCCTCAATGTATCACTTTATGTATACATTTTAATAAGCACTGATATAGAATGCCATTGCTTTTGGATGGCTGAGAACAGACAAGCAGAAGTATGGCTTGTCAAAAGAAAGGAAGTGCAGCATTCAAGAGTGGCACAGGGGGACAACCTTCCTCTTCCCAAGCAGGGCAGTCAAGACATATGTTGAAAAAAAGGTGAATTTTCAAGGTGGTTTGCAAGCAGCACTTTTGCTGCCAGTGGAAACAATCCCCAACTGTCAAACTGGCAGCAGGTCATATGCAGCTACAGTCATTGGCATGTGCTCAGCAGGGCAGGACTGTAAGGCTTTGTTCACACCAAATGCAGAGCAGATCCGGTCAGGTTTCTGCACACGCAGTGCAGTGGGTTGTGCCGCGTTTTTGATGCGTTCCGGGCCGTATTTGCTAAAAAAAAAAAAATGTTTCCCCTGCTCTGGATCTGGTCTGGATCCACATGCTGCGATGTGAACTGGAGGGCAAAATACCATAGGAATACATTGGACACAGTTTTGATCCGGTCTGCACCTGCTCTGGTCTGGATCTGCTCCGCGCTTGGTGTGAACAAGGCCTTAAGACTGAGGTGTATCATAGGTCCATTAAAGCCTTACTAGACTAATTCATTCTAGCCGATAACTGTAAAAATACAAGTTGAACTAACTACTCTCATTTTTTTTAAAAGCACTAAAGGGTTAGAAACTCAGTCAGGTTCTCATTGCTGCTATTTTTCAACAGAGCCTGTCCCTTCCTTCCTGTCAATGGTAAAGAAAGTGAGACAACATTTCTCCAACAGACACGCTATCACCAATAAAAGCACTTGGTTTGGGTTTATTATGCTGTCTAAGTCCCTATTGGAAAGATTCCTTACTCACTTCCTGTCCAGTCAGGAAGTAAAGCAAAATCTCCCCAATGGGGACATAGACAGCAAAAAAAAAAAAACTGATCGAATGTCCTTACCTCTCTGTGGAAGAGGCCATGTTCACTAATAAATAGGTGAATACCAAAATAAAAAGTTTGATCAAATATTAAAATATAAGCAATGGAATTAATAAGCAAGTTATGCAATACTCACGTTCACACTTGGAATCAGTCCACACCTCCTCAAAGAAATCATAAAGAGCAACAATGACATGGACCCTGTCAGAGCGAAGCAGTGTGGTTGCACAAGTGAGTGTGCTGGTGTTCTGAAAATAGAATATGAAGAATAAGAATGGACAGCTAAGAACTTACAAACAATATTGTAAAATGAAAATGTGAAGAAAATAAGCAATTTAGACTGACTGGGAGTCCTTTTTATTGAATAAGGAATTAAGCCAGACTACACTTAGGTGTCTATTTGTAGAAAATATTGTATAGCTAATCACCCGGCCAAACTGAATGTACTTTCGTTCCGTGCAAATTAATCAGCTGCTGCGAGAATGGGGCAAAATCAAAATGTATTTCCTCCTCTGGTTAAATGTTTTAAGAAAATAAATAACAGAGCAGCTGGTGCATACTCTCCCTTACAGATGAAACAAGCACGAGTACATTATCACAAGTACACCGGTGTTAGAACTTGTTCAGACGGCTGGTGGACTGCTTTTCAGAGGGGGGTAAAGCATGCCATACTGCCGCCTCCTCAACACTGTTTTTCCAGATGTGGATTTTCTATTGCAATACCATGGATCTGTGGCGTGATCCCAATGATTGCAATGGTCGCGTTTGGCAAGCGGCAACACCTGCTGTTTAAAATGTGCTGCGGCCGCTATAATTAAGATTTAGGTGGGAGGTCAGGAGGCTGTAAAACCACGGATCATCACCTGTTTTTCCACCCTTTGGACTCTTCTGTGAGCAAGTCCTTACTGTGTTGCAAGTAGATAGATTAGCCACAGAAGTGCTGCAGATATTATTCCCTAAGGCCCCTTTCACACGGGCGCCTGTCAGTTCCGATTAGCAGGGGATCTGTGCAGTACGGATCAGATGTCACTGTTGTGAAATCCAACGTCCGTCAAGTTTTCCCTCCCATTGAAACAACTAAACTAATCAGACCCATGTTAGGTCAATGGGGAGTCGGATGTAAATGAACATATAGTATTGTTGTGTTTACATCAGATTACCCCCGATACATCACAATCAGGTCTGCCAAAACTAAACTCTGTTCCGTTTGTTTTTTGGACCTGTAAAGAGTTGTGGGTAATTGGACGTAAATGAACGCACGTCAGTTTAGAACCGAGAGCCCATAGATTAACAATAGGCTTTTGATCAGTTTTTCAGGCGGACCTGATCGGGCCATAGGGTAATGTGGACGATTGCCTTTGGCAGACAGAAATAATGTGTGCAAAACAAAAAGAATAAAAACATACTCACTGCTATAACAATCCATGCAGCCTCCTGACTGTAGGGTCCTCAGATCCTACCTGCCAATGGCAATCACCAGCACTAGTTTATGGGAGTAATAGGCCACTTTTAGATGGGCGGTCCGATCACGTCTGCCTGTCAGTTTTTCAGGCGGACCCATTCGGATGCTCAATTTAAGTCTATGAGCAGCCATATCTAAATGGATGGGTATCCATTTACATCTGGTTGCCCCTGGTCCAGAAAAACAAACAGAATAGATTTCTGTTTCGCTGGACCTGGTTTTGCCAGATCAAGGGTAATCTGAGGTAAACTGTCTTTTCCCCATAAACTCACATGCGGTCCAGTCATTTCATTTTTTACCTCCAAGGATATTACAGCGGTGACATCCGATATGTACCGCTCCTATCAGGAGATCTGTGCACAGATCCCATCCTGATCGGACAGTGCGAAAGGGGCCTCAGTCACAGCACTTCAGTGGCTAATGTATCTACTTGCAACACTGTAATGTCGGTGTTATTAGAATTGATGGTATTATTCATAATATACTAGGGCTCATCTCACAGCTGGGTAACTTAACAGGGTGAAAATACAGTTTTGCTGAAGGAAAAGCTTTGTGATTTTCTTTATAGACTCCTTAGGGTTAAAAAAAAAAAAAACAACAAGCGCTGCTAGGCAGAAAAGACGATCTGACCAGAGTCATGTGCACCAGAGAGGAAGAAGGCAATGTTCCATTATGATTTACTGGGAAATGTAACTTGTTTGCCTAACTTCCTTCTTAGTCTTTAGTCACAGAAAAACTGTGTGATGTTTGGAAACAAATTGTGTACTTTGAGTTGCACTTTGTTTCCTCAAACCAACATTAAAAAACTGGATAAAAATGAGAGCTCTAAGAAAAGTGCAACGATAAAGTACTGTATTCAAAGTAAGCACTATTTCTAAGTTGCATAATATAATTATGTTTTGCTGCTTCATCATTTGCACTATAGGGTCAGTCCAAGTCATATTTCAGTAATAGATGTCATTTCCTAGCCTGAGCCACAGCCTGGGTACTCATGTCTCTAATGGTCTCCTCCAGTAGTAAGACCTCCTGGGTCTGTACCTGTCCCCTATAAAGTAACACTTCTGAGAACATGTTCCTACTCGTATTGCTACATTGTCCATGAATCAAAATCTATCTCTGGGCACACTGATTTTTATAATATTAGACTAATATTATCTTCTTTAACTGTCCTAAAATGAATCAAGAGTTTTTACTAACTATAATACATGTCTATAAGCTCCACTGAGCGCTGCCACAGTGTGTACAGCAGGAGCCACATTGGAATGGAGTCTATTGCAGATGCCAGGTGTGGTGTTGTGCTTATGTCTCAGCGGTGGGCAACTTCGGCCCTCCAGCTGTTGTGGAACTACAAGTCCCATGAGGCATTGCAAGACTGAGTGTTACAGGCATGACTCCCAGAGGCCGGGGCATGTTGGGGTTTGTACTTGAAGCACAGCTGGAAGGCCGGTGTTACTCACCCCTGCCCTGTCTCCTTTCTTTGCTATCAGTTACGTGTGAGGGGTTGGAAGAAAAAGTAAAAGTTTGTTGCAAACCCAGTTTGTCCAAGTTCACCCAAACCCACTAAAAACTGTGACTGACACACCTACCTCCCGGCCCTATCAGTTGTTTCAGGGGCATTACCCGCTCCTTTATGGCGATTACCTGCCCGGCAGGGAATGTGCCTGCTGGAACTTATTTTGCCCATAGGGGTGTTGTCGGTGATAGTTTTGTGCAGGCTTGGGCGAACTCAGGCGATCTGGGTTTGCACCAAGCCCCTGCACATAACTATTTGCCATTTACAAAGCACAGCCCTGTGATAATGCTGTGGCTCTGCATTATGAATGCAAATTCAGAGGGAGGGGACGGAGGCACAGCAACAGAACTGGTGTCTTTACTAGACCCCATTCCATTGCAGCTGGAATCCAGAAGTGCGTCTCCCGCTGTACATCACAAGGCTATCTTGAGACGGGTTGAGGTGTAAAAAAAAAACTCATGTCAGCGGTGGTCACGGTGCCACAACTGTAACTGGACATTTCAAAAACATTTAACACAAAAAAAGGAAAAAAGTATTTAAAATAGAACAGCTCTACTAATCACCAGCCAGATTAAATTCCTCTGTGACCAGTGCTGGCTATGCCCACAAGCTGCAGACAGGAGGGATATCTGCATTGAGCTGGTTCATAGAGAATGATGGTCAGCCAGAACAAGATTCACCATTTGTGTGCAGCTTGTGAACAGGGCTAATGCTGGGTATAGCGGAAGTGGCACAGGAGGTTCACAACAATGCATGCTCGGTTGCAGTGAAAAGTTACTGTTTTATTTATTATTGGTATTTATATAGCGCCGACAATTTAGGAAACCCCTTTTACATAGTGCACATTCAAATCAGTCACTGCCCTCAAGCAGCATACAATCTAAGGTCCCTATCGCACATTCATACATACAGGGCTAAATTTAGGCCCTGCATTTACAAATCAGCCCCATCTGTGAGCCACCATCTCAGTCCAGAAATAGATGATGACCCTGGATGATGTCTGAACAAAGATGGCTTGTCCTTCTGGATAGGGATGCACTCAGGTTTGGACTGAACCCAGTTTGAACCTGAGCTCCTTCGAACAAGGAAGTGCAATAGGCCCAATCAGATGCCATTTCCCGCCCCGTAGCTGCATGTCAACAGAGGGGCGGAATGCTTGTGCTGACATTTACCTAATATGGTCCCATAGCCATATTAGGTAAATGTCACTTACCTAATACAGGCATGTAGTCATAAAAAGTCAATGACGTCACTACATCCCTTTGCGGGTGTCAAGGTGTGACCGAGGAATTCCCCACCAGCAGCTGATTGGGTGGCATGGAAGTAGTTTCCTTCTGCGTTCAGTAGGTGCTCAGGTACCATTCAAACCTGAGCTCATCCCTACTTCTGGAAAGTGGGAGTACTGTGACATGCAGTAAATACCTGGAGTAACACATTACTTAAAGTGGACCTTTACCCATATCTTTAAAACAGCAAACACACCTTTAGAAAAGTTTAGTAATGACAATCTACAAACACACACTTCTAGATATATGAACGCTTTGTATTCTTTGCATACCTTATTTCTCTTTTCTTCCCCAGTCTTCTGACAGTGGCCATTTTACTAAGGGCAGATTACTAGATCTCCCTTCACTTCCAGGCACATGTGGCAAAAGATAAAAAGCATTTTATACCTGACATGTCTCTGTTATTATTAATCATCATATATGGGAGGGATGCATTGGTAGAATTTGATTTTTGAGTGTAAAGGTCCGCTTTAACATGCATGCATTCTGATTCTAGGTCCACATTAGTGCAACCTGTACAGGCTTTCTAATCGTCTTCCATGTATCTTGGAGTTGTGCGTATTCCTTGTAGCAATGCTGACACACTCGCACAGGCCATGCCATGCTTGCCAAACAGTTGCTTAGGTCAGCACTGTTGTTGGCAAATTCATGAAGAAGCTGGATACACACATTGGGGTCCAGTTGGTGATCAGGGGACAGAGAATAAGGTGGGAGCAGAGAGAGAGAAAGCTGCTCGGCCCAAACGGACCTTGCCATCAAAGAATCGTCTAAGCTCTGGGGGTCAACACTTTGCCACCCCATACCCAAACAGGCCGCACACACCAGCAAACATACACTCAGTGCTCCACTAACATTCATCATACTGACTGTCCTGTGGTGGGGAAAGAACACACAACACTGACACTGTATCTATTGAGCTACTGCAACCAGTGTAATCCCCTATAAATGAGGTCTACAGACTAGAAATGGACATCACAATGACACACACACATCTGGCTGAATGTAAACGGTACAGGACATTAAATAAGATGCTGTGTTATGTGTGTTTGCAGCATAAGGGTCTACTGTAAGCCAGACTTCTATAGTCGTTACTGCAGATAATACAGCACACACTATCACCTAATACAATACAATACAATCACACTCACATACACACCGAGCGATACAACAACACACACCATTAGCAGCAGATCAGTTCCTGAATCCAGCACTTCCGTGTGCAGAAGAGGAGGGGGGGTGAGGAGGAGGGTCCTCTGCTCATAACCCTTTCTCATCCACATCCTCCTCTGCATGAATGAAAGCTGTGTGCTCTAACGCCAAGCATGTGTTTGTGACAGGGGGCTATAAGTCACAGACAGCACCAGATTCCTTGCTATCATATTACTGAAGAATCCTGTCTTTGGCAGCAGTACATGTAATACTTTATTAACCCCTTCATGACTGAGGCCTTTTTTTTTTTCTTTTCTTCATTTTTTGCACCCATGTTATATTCCAAATTTTTGGCCTGCAAATGACTTAAAACCCCCAAACATTATATATTTTCTGAAAGCCAAGACGCTATAGAATAAAATGGTGGCAGTTGCAAATTGTTATGTTGCACGATATTAGCACAACTCCTTTTCAAACCCCAAAATTTAGTGACAAATGTACTTTAATGCCCCACAACACAAATAAATACCCATTTCTAAAATAAAAGATGATGCAACGAGTAAATAGATACCCAACATGCCCAGGTTAAAAATTGTGTGCGTCCGTGAAATGGCGACCAAATTCAGTACCGCAAAAAGTCCATAGACAAGCGCTTTAAAAGCCCCCACAGGTCATCAGTTTAGAGATACCCAAAAATACTGGCCCTAGAATTATTGCTCTCTCTCCGGCGTGCGCGGAGATACCCAACATGTGTAGCGCGTTCGTCGTTTTCATACGTAGGTGCACCCGACACGCGTTTACGTGAAGACGCGCGTGCTTGCGGGGGCGTTGGACTTTACCATTTTTTTAAATTATTTTTAGATTTATTTTATGTAATGTTAATTTTAAAAAACTGTTATTTTTTAATTTTTTTACTTTACATTAATTGCTATCACATAGGGAGCTTACAAGCCCCCCATGTGATAGTAGATTGGGTGTGACAGGTACTCTTTAAGGTGATGCTGGGGGTCCAAAAGACCCCTAGTGTCACCTTTACACTCCAAATAAGCTATTGAAGTGCAGATCGCACTTCAATCGCTTATAGCTGGGCTTCAGGAGCCCAGCACTGACAGCTATGGGACGACCGGAAAGTGATGCAATCTGCATCCCTCCAGGTCCCATAGAACGGGGAGGGGATCTCCTCCCCAGCTTCCCGCCGACACCGAAGAAGCCGATCCCGGGCCCGTAGGAGGGGCAATGTGGAGCCCGGGAAACACGGTGGGGGTGTCGGGGACACACACACACACACCCCTTTACCAGGCCGTAGAAGCGATCTGGCGACAGCTGAGTCGCCAGAATCGCTTCTACTGTAAAGCCGACAGTCGGCTTTACAAGTTTAAACAGCAAAAGCCGCCAGGAGTCTGTTTAAACAGCCCCGATGCCAGCGACGTACACTGTACGTCGTTGGTCGTGAAGGGGTTAAGACCGGGGTGTTAAACCCCCTTCCTGGCCAGGCCATTTTTCAGTATTCAGCGCTGAGGTACTTTGACTGACATTTATTCAGTCATGCAACGCTGTACCAAAATTAATCTTATACCAATTTTTTTGGAACAGATAGAGCTTTCTTTTGGTGGTATTTAATCACCACTGGGGTTTTTATTCACTATATAAAGAAAGAAATAGCGAAAATTAAAAAAACAAACCTGTTATCCCTATGTTATGTTATGAAACACTGCAAAGAAATAATCTTTCTTCATACATTTAGGCCAAAATGTATTCTGTTACATTTCTTTGGTCACGTCACGTAAATACATACCAATCAAGGTTTAAAATTGCGTGTGCCCACAAAATTGCAAAACACTAGCATACCCAAATTGCCCGAAGGCAACACTTTAAAAGCTTTTACCACTCATTAGTTCAATATTAAATATGATTGATGTCACCCGACGTTCGTGGTGATATGTAACGCATGGTGCATACGTTGTTTCCGCATATAGGTGCGCCCGACGTGTGTTTGCTTTTATATGTGTGTGTACATGGGGGTGGGGTACCTTAAAAATGTTTTTGTGTTTTTATTAATTTTTTTATATGTGACTGATTTTTTTTACTTTTTTTTCACTTAACATTATTGCTATCACCTAGGGGACTAACAAGCTGCCTATGTGATAGCACAGATACAGTGACAGGTCCTCTTTATGGAGACATCAGGGGTCTATTAGACACCTAATGTCACCAACTACCCCAAGAAGCTGATAAAGCAGAGATCTGCTTCACCAGCTTCTTCTCCAGCTACAGCAGCCAGAGGAATGACACACTGAAACCGGATCACTTCCGCTTTCAGTGATCGGAGGGGAGATCAGCACCTGGAAGTGTGCTGATTTCCCTCCTATTGAGGTACATAGACCTGCACAGGGGGCAGCAGAGTCTGGGTAGCCCTATACAGCAATGTACAAGTGATCATATGGCTCTATAGCTGCCTAAACACTTGTATGTAACAGCCATCACTAGCTATTTTAAAGGAGTGGGAAAATACGTTTATAAACGCCCACCCGCCAGCAGGTGTCCATCCTGCCGTTTAGTTACAAGGCCAGATGGCAAGTGGTTAATGATATTTTAAATCATAATGATTGACTAAAGCTGAAAAAGACTAAATTTTGACCGTTGCAATGTAGATGTAAATGACCCTAATAAGACATTTCTCAAGTCTGGATGCTGTTGTGTTTGTTAAAACCTTTACTTTTTCATTAACCCCATCCAATAATGAGAGCGAGACACTTTTCATCTTGTCCATTCATAAAATGTTGTTTGTTTTTTTAACAGGATACAACGCATTCTATGATTGGACAAGGAGATATTGTGACATCCGACCCTCCGCTCTACTTGTTCAATCGCAGGAAGCGGAAGTTCGGGGCTTACATAATTGTAAGAGTTCGACTAGGTACATGATTGTATAGCCTGCAGACCAAACGGTGCACACTGAAGGGTGACAACGTCACTGCTGCATAGTAGAGCAGGGGGTGAATGTTGTCACCTTAGAATGTAAGAATCATCATGTTAAAAAAAAAACAAGATAGACAGAGATGGTAACAACCCCTGCAATTTTTACTTTTGGATTAACATACACTTTATTGGACCTTACGGATAACCTTTAGAGCCTATTTACACCATAGCACTGCATTAAGTCTCAGCCAAACAGTGACTGCAGCCAAATTGCTGGTACTATATAAATACCTATAATATTATTAATCATAATAATAATAATAATAGGCAAAAAGAATGTGATACTGTGAAAACAGTATTTTTTATATGAAAACAAAATTGGCAGTTGATTGTAATACAGAGTGCTTTAGCAACTTCAGTGTAGCTGAACTTTACAAATAAGTCAGGAAATGGCAGAGACCATATTTTTACCTTGACAATTTTAAAAGGTTACATTATGTGATGCTAGACTGGTGTCACTGCTTAGTAGGTTGGTGACCCAGAACAAGCATGCAGGCAGTGAAGTTTTGATCACATGACTGTCCTGTAGCCTCCAGCTCTAAAAACACATTGGTGATGGCAGCTCCCATACTCCTGATGGAATTCCTTAGATTGTTGATAGTACATCCGGTTATACAGATAAGTAGCATGTAATGACAACTACCCATTTCCCAGTGCACACAATAAAAGAGCAGAGCACACCTGCAAGCTTGTCAAGTCTTATTTAGTCTGATGTTGCTGCATTGAATGCACAAATCAATAGCTTCATGTGCTTCAGAAAGGTGGTATATTACACAAGGGTTACCGCATTATGTTGGCTAAATTCTCTTCTTTAAGTATATGCTGCGGATTGTTGTAACCTAACACCTGCATGGAACTAATAAGCCACTGAAAAGACGGTTGTTTTCATTCTGAAGTCTGGACCCACCCCCACACTGAGTAGACCAAATAGTTTGGTGTTTCCATTCAATGCTTTCTTTTGGCTTCAGACTTTAACATTTGAATGATACCGCTGCAATGTAAGGTGTTAGGATGAAACTGACTAATCAGGTTTGCAATCCAACAAACAAGAATCATGCTGATTCATTCAGATTTCTCAAAACTCAATTTAAGTCAATACTTCAGGGTCCATTTACAAAGCATGGCTTAAAAAACCAAAGGAGAACCCAGTGACCGGTCAAAGTCATATAAACGGCTCTGCTCCTGTCCAGGATCCAGTCTGCATTAAGCAGAGAGAATCCCGTAGGATAACACAGGATTAATATTGCGGCCTATGGGTGGGTAGGCCACATTATATACTGTGAAGTATAATGAAGAGTGGATAGCGAAGTCCACTCTCCGTTATAAATTAGCTCCTTTTGTTTCACTTATTTTTGGATAGCGTAAGACAGTATTAGAATCCCGTCATGTGTATATGGCTTGCCACTAGGAAGATTTCCCCTGAGTTTTTATACAGGTGATATGAGGTCAGTGAGAGATAGGAAGTAACTGCAATGGGGATAGAGACAGAAACCGAGTGGGTTGTTGGGTTCAACTTTCTGTGTTTTTATATTGCTGTCTATGCTTTCCTGACTCGTTCTCCTCATATCTGAGAGAGCCTGAGGCTGTTGCCTCAGGTGGCATCTCTCTGGGTCACATGGGGGGCAGCAGGCAGAGCGCTGCTGCACAATGTTCGCAATGTCCCTTCCACCCCTTTTCCTGCAAGAGCGTAACAGATTGCTAACAGCCGGGCATGGAAATGTGTATACATTTCCCCGCCAAGCTCTAAGGCCCCATTTACAC